ACGATCCCACACGTTTGCAGCTGATAACAAAGTTCATATGTTCAGCCTATGTTCTTTCCTTTTGTTTGACGGATTTCAGTGTATTTCACAATTCATCCCTGCATTTTCATGAAAGAAAACATGTTTCTGTGTTCATGACCCAAGTTTGACTACATAGGTCTTGATTTGGGGAAATAATTGAATAAAATCATTTTAATTTAGAGAAATCAAAAATTGCGTTTAATCAGTTGTAAGTTGTTAACTTACATTTTCTGAGCCCATCCTCAGACAGTTGTTTACGAAATTGAAGCAAGAACGAAACAAAAAAAAAGAAAAGGAAAAAAAAAAAAAAAGAGACGAAGAACCCCCTAGTTCCTTTACACAAAGTTGTGTGATGCCCACAAAACACGTAAAAGTTGATGTGGGCTCTTTACAGTTGATAACCGTGCTCTTTGTGCATGTCTTCGACTTTAACATTACTCTTGCTGACTCTAATTTATTCACGTTCGATATATGCTAACAAGGTCAGGCAGTCTTCCGTCAAGGTTTCTTGGAATACTCATTATATATATTATAGGGGTAGATTATTTTTGCGAGGATTTATGAGAGTCAAATCGGCCACCGAACATAGGGAAAAAAAGACAGGATCACTTTCACGAAATAGAGATTAGTCTGATAAAAAAAAACCAAATCTAATTCATCTACGATCTAATTTTATCTCCGATTTAAGGATTCCAGGAAAAATAAACAAATGAAGGTAAGTTGTTCGTTGCTCTCAAAGCTAGTCCAAAATAGTCATGGCAAAATCAGGAGGTACAAAGTGTCAGTAAGCTATGATTAATCAGAGCTAAATGCAAAGTTCTTCCATTCAAGAACTAGGTGACTTCACATGTCGTCTGGCCTTTGCCATTTATCTTTCAAACTAAATCGACAACATCGATATTTATATCTGATTTTCTTAGCAGCTGTGGACTTCTTCTGCAAATAAAATCGGAGCAAAAGCTCGTCTTCATTGCATTTCACGTACTGCTTGGAGAGTTCTCTGATCGTACCCCTACCCACGTCTTTCCATTCAGTGTATGTGTCACGGCAGATCGCGTTATTATCTAGCACGCGCTTGTGAATGTCACTCATAACGGTGTTTTCTTTCCTAAGTTCTTCCAAGAGTCCCTGATGGCAAATGGAAACAAAATGGAAATTTCAGCAGCGAATATAGACCAAGAATTAAAATTTTAGTCTGAAGCGTCACCTATCTCCCTGTCAGAACCCCCAAGGGGGCACATTGTAAGTACTGGTACGAAATCTCCCGAGTGGTACCCTGTAAGCAATAGGAAAACGATAATCGGTGGGCATCTTTTTTGTTTAAACTAAGTACGTTATAGGTTTGAATTATGCCGTCTTAAAGTCGCCTAAAATTCAAAATCTTTCATTTAATTCATTCATCTATTTATTCAGTTCTTTATTTTGCCTGATAGGAAGTAGTAATGATTTCCCAAGGAATGAGGTGGTATTCGAGAAAGAACAATGGTAGTGCAGGCAGTCTCGTATGCATCATTTTTCTCCACAGAAAATTCCCCCCAGTCTTTGCAGCTATGTACATATATGCCCTTAAACTTACATACGTGGCCACTTTTAATAATATTTTACAATACTGGCTTTCCATCCTTGTTCCATCTCGGGTTTTATTTTCCTTTAGAACGACTCAGTCATAATTATCAATACCTGAAAGACTTCCACCAATATAAGAGACGAAAATTAAAGAAGAAGTTTTGAAATGTTTGGATTTCCTACAAGCTCGAGGTTCATTTTCAGACTTAAGGATAAATTACATTTCAAATATATTTTTTTACGTATAGCTGTTTCTACAAAGTATCTTAACACTTTGATATATAAACAAACAAATTAGTTTTTTTTTAAATCACAATCTTTATCGCTTTAAAAAAAAAATCTGTTTTACGCAGAAATTTATAATGAAGGCTTGACCTGGTGTACTAGAAGCGATATTCCCGACACGCATTACAAGCTTACAGAACTTTGAACTTGAACTGTCACCTAGGCTAAATGATACCTGTCACTCACCCGTTGTCGCTCCTCCTGATGATCTGCTTCCCTCACCAGGTTGTCAAGTGATGCGAGCTGTAGATTCTGTTTGCCCTTTTCAGTATCAGCTATAATATTTCCCTCCAGGTCTTCCTTCTCGTAGTCGTCCCCTTTTCTTTTCATATAAAACTTGATAAAGTTGATCCGACTTTTTTGTTTCTTCATGCTTGCCAGTTGCTGTGCGATTTTTCTCTGCAAACCGGCCATTTTCGTTTCGTACATTTTAAGACCAAGTATGATATCATCATCACTGAGGGCTCTCTAGAAAGAGTGTGAGAGATCATCATCCGAAGGTAACAGTTTTCCAGGGGAGGGGGAACCTCTTCTAATGTTTTATTTTCACATGTTTTTTCCTAGAAAGTGAAGGAGGGGGGTTGGGGGCTACTGGCTTTCTACTTCTCATCGACTGCGCATTAGATCATTATGTCATAATTCAGAGCGAGTGAAATATTTCCCTGTCTTATCTTCTAGTCTCTCTTTGCCTCTAAAAATAAAGGGGGAGAGGGTTGGTTGGAGACAGAGGAGAAGAGAACGCTATAACTGGGAAGTCAGGTCAACACCTGAAAATTTATTCTTATCAGGAGCCCATAATTATGATAACAAACTCCTGTTACTGCATATTGATACGCACATGTCCCCTTTTTTAATTTTGAATCCTCCCTCGAGATATTTACAAGTACAGCCTACTGAATCGCCTTCCCGAATTAAAAGGTAGCAGTGAGCCTCACTCCCTCGTGATGTACTCAGGCATGGCACGACTCGATTGAGGGCCGACCCCCCCCCCCCCCCCCCCTCCTTCACCCCACCAATAAATCCTTCTGTTACTCACGATTTACTTGACCATGCAAACTCAAATTTTAGTTGTTTAGTATCTGGAACAATTATCTCAACCGTTCCGGCCTATAGAGAAAGCATGCGTTCCCTTATTTCTCGTGGTACTTTCCATCTACTCTTTGTCTCTAAAACAAACGTTGATATCTCGTGAATGACACAGCCGTTACGTGGAATTTTAAACCAGTATGACTGTGCCTTGAAACGAAGCACAAATTGTCAATTTCTAACGCGAATATGTCTTTATCACATCAGTAGAAGGTACTTTGGGTGCATAAATTTACCTTCAATCGATTTCTTTCCATTGGCTTCTCATACCCGTCTGTAAAGACAAAATGGAACTGCATAGAAAGCAGGGCAAATATGACTGTACGTGACAACGCCATCTTCGAAAACATAGCTGGCACACAAAGACCGGTTTGTTTTCTTGTAACTTGATCTTTCGGAGAGACAATAGGAAACGAACACTCTTGGTTCAGAGGACGCTGGATTCTTCTTGATGGGACAACCTCAAGAACGCGTATAACAACAGGATCCCAAGAAGACAAATATCCTTCAATTGCGGTCTTCTGTAGATGTCTGTTCTGTTCATGTCTTTGTTAGCGGGCTGTTATTCCATGCATACGTTCAAGGAGCTACATACAGTCCTTGAGAGCTCACTATATCAGTTATTTTTTTATGTATAATAAGAATCATTAAATTTCGGGCTAAAAAATTTCTCAATGGACTACTCGAAAATTGATCAAGTGGTAAAACAGGGTCATGCAGATCCATCAAAGCACTCGCTGATCATCCCATCGTTTTTGCCACCCGTGTTATCTGTAACAAGTATCGACTTGGTATTTGTTGCTATTACACGTCCTGTTACGTGACAGACGCCATTTCAAAATGACCAGGCTATTTAATATTGTAGCCCTAACTAAAGATTCTCATAGAGACGAGAAGACCGTTTTCTCTCGAGGTTGATTCTCAAAGCAGGGACGAAAGTCGATATATCACCATCATGAGCATCATTCCGGTCACGCCGAATGTCCAGTCCACCATTATCTTATTACCGGCTGACTTAATCAACCCTCTTCTGTCATCAGCTGAGTCTGTCAAAGATAGGATTTCTCTCGACAAGGCGCACACAAAACGCTATTGTTGTTGTTGAAAACTTGACTGGCGATGATGACGAATTTCGCAGCTTTGTTGCTGTTTCTTCTACCCTTAAACATCTTTGAACACTCAGTTGGGATGCCGAGAGGAAAGCTACGATTGAAGGTAAGAGTGGATATCCGAGGAAAAGACATCATTAGTGCAGCAACACGATTCTTTACGACAATAAACCTTTCATTGACTTTTAACAACATCGCACGGTTTTCGTAATACATAGAGGTATTCTAGAGAGGTATCAAGCAGTATCAGGAGTTAACTTTACAGATAAAACATGGGACAACAAGCGATGCCCTTTCCTAACAATCATTTCTGGCTACACGGTCAATTCCCTTCACCTCCCCTGTTAGGTTAGCATGTTCCAAGCGGTCAGTTAGTAAAACGAAACGCGATAGTAAACAGCGCGATAGAAGCGGAGGAATGAAAAAAACGATGGAGGTTTGGGTCGGCTGGCTGACTGTAGCATTTTAAACTCTTTTTGGATTTTTGGATTTTTTCGATTTATAATTAACTTTAAAAAGCATCAGTTTTTGTGGTCAGACGAACACCAAAGTCATGGTTAAAGGCAATTTGAGAGATATGGCCAAAGAGGAGTAAACCTTTACTCGGCATCATTGATTTCCCTTTCTCTCCTATTTTAATTTTACTTTATTATTATTATTATTATTATTATTATTATTATTATTCTATTAAATATTTATCTGCCTTTTTTTTTTTTTTTTTTTGCAGCGACAGGCCCCACAAAGTTCCGCCTTAGCAGCTTTGATGTCGTTCTCCGTCAAACTCTCCGACATGGAGCGACAAATAACATCCTATGAAAAGACAATACAACGACAGAAAGCCGAGATCGACCAACTGACAGCCAAGCTTGACTCCAAAGCTGATCGAGTTCAATTCAAAAGTTTGCAGACTTTACTGGACAGCAAGATGGTGGCGCTTAAGGACGAGACTAATACGAAGGACTTGCTAATCGAGCGATACCGGAATAAACTCAGTCAGCTGGATTCTGAGGTTACGGTAAGTGGTCTGGACCCTTCGTTTCTTTATTAAGGCGCAAGGCCAAAGATGGGGAGCGGAGAAAAGAAGCGGGTGAAAACTGTCATAATAAGCCCTACTTCTAAGTTAATCACCAAGTAACGAAGTAACTAGCTGAAACAAGTAGATAACCAATCAATAAATTGATTGATGGACTGACTGACGCTCTGACTGACATACAGACGGATTGACTGGAAACTGACTTTCTGATTGATTGAATAGCTGGCTGACTGGTTAACTTGCTAATTTTCTGGGTGACTCACTGATGGCTGACTGACTAACTGATTAACCAACAAACTCACTTACTCACTGACTGGCTCGCTTACTGACTGAGTTACTTAAGCATTTTTGGGTGTGCTCTTTTAAAGTTGAAAAAAAAATTTGTTAAAGCCAACCAACTGACTGTCTTACTCTTTGGTTGACTAATATAGTGACTGAGAGACTGACTGACTGACTGGCCGACTGTCCGACTAACAGACTAGTGTACTGTTTGGATGGTTGCCTGACCGGCTGCCTACGGTAAATGACTTTCTCATAGACTGACTGTCAGTTTGACCACAGGCAACCCAACCGTACTATGTATGATTTTGGGGATTTAAAAGTCAGAACCAGGAATAATTAATATGCTGAATATGTGTATTAACTGTGGAAGTATTAGCCAAAATTTCCCTTCCTCCATTGGTATTCAATCACTCATTAGTTAAACGAAGTTGATATTCCCTGAATATTTTGATGATTTAGGGATGGACGTGTGCTGTGCACCGTTGATAGTGTTAAAATCATTGCTATTCTTTTTCGTTTTTTTTTATTTTTATATTTATTTGTTTCATTTTTTTTACAGTACACAGGAACGCTCAAAGTTCAATATGAATTCATCGTGCAATATGCATCATACAATATACAGTAAATACACATGTTCAGCATAGTAGATATTCCTGTTTGTGACCTTAAAAGCCCCGAAATCACTTATGGTACAGTTGGGCTGCCTGTGGCTTGACTTATTCGATAACTGCTTGCTTAACTGACTGACTGATTGACTAACTGACTAGATAACTAAAAAACTGTCACGGCACCTCAACTTAAATCAACCATGACCTATGGGGAAAGGACTTATTCCGTAGTGGAACCGGAACTATGAAACTAATTTCAATTACATATCCAGAAAAATCGTCACAGGTAGCAGTAATGAAAACGAAGCTTAACACTAACCTGTTTGAAGATAGATTTGATTTGTTATTTTTAAAACGCAAGTCTTTTAAATTGTCTACATTGCTATGGTTTAGTACCATGGACACCTACTGAACTATAGCGCTCAAAAATGTCTTTTTTTAACAATTTTAATTAATTTTTTATTATCAATTAGGACATAAGCAACCAATACATTAATCTTCGAGGCAAGACAACAGAAGTGCTGGACAGATTCGACGAACTCGGATTTCACTGTACGACACAGAATACAGGCTGGGCTCCAAAAGCCAATGCAGCCATTGGAAACCTGGATCGGCAGTGGGTCCGATGTAACCCTAATGAATTTCTGCAGAGTTTTGTACTGACCTTAGCCAGCAATTACGAAGAGGACATGGTTAGATATAAGTATAGGTGCTGCAGTCTTAATATCTGAAAGGCGATCACAGGAACCTTATACCTTGAAAGTACGTTAAATATTATCCCCATTTAACCTCTTCAATCCCAGGAATGACCAATAACTAATTTCTTCTTTCATTATCAAAACAATATTAAACAGACAAGTGATGAGGATAAAAACAAATATCCACTAGGGTATTACTATTTAATCCAACACCAAAGTTTTAGGGCCATCATTATAGGAAATGTTTAGCAGACCATGAGGTGATTGCTCTAGGGATCTTGGGAATGAAAAGACTCATTTTATAATTAGGTACTCTCAATGATTTAGTTTTTGCTTTAAATGGTTTTCATTGTTGATCCAAGAATTGCTTGAAAATCATACGGGAGTAGTTTGATACACAATATAATGTGAGGAAGATTCTTGGCAAAAAACATGGACAACAGACGGCTGACATAGGAGAGAGGAAGGCTAAAAAAACCAAGCTGCTTTTTTTAAAATTCTAGTTGAAATTATTATTGTTACATATACACATTTTCTAACTCGTTTATCAGTTATAGTATTTTAGTATGGTGATATCTCTCTATGTACAATTTAGTAGAATATGAGGTGTTAAAGTGAGGCAAAAAAATTACTGATTCCCTTTTTTTTGCTTTTTCTTTTCTTTTTTATTCTCTCTTCGAAACGTTACAATAACTGTTTTGATTAAAAAAAATAGTAGATGCAAAAGTAAACCTACTGATATCAAAATAACAGATCTCGCCACGTGTTAAAAGATAATAGAAAAAGATGATAACAATAATAAAAATATTATGTACATTATCATGTTCTAAAAGGATAGTAGCAAATCGATGGATGTCACGCATCACGCGTCACGCTCTTATTCTTCAGTCATGCGACTGAGATCTTCAACACTTGCGTTACTGGCAGTCTCCATAAAAGGTGTCACAGGTTCAGAGGGTGTCTTCGGGATCAACTGCTTTCTCAACTTCTCAACTTAAAATTTGTTTTTGTAATCTAATAATAGTAATAATTATAATCGTAATGATGAGAATAATAATAACAACAATAATAGGGACAACAAAACCATGAACATCAGCATCATCATGTTACCTTTCCAAACATCGAAAATATCACAACTAAGCCTTATCTCTGACATAATTCAGTTTTGCTAACAAATTTGTTAGTTGTTTTGTTGTTACTGTTGTTGTTGTTGTCGTCCTTAATGGCCAGATCCAACCTAACTCGATCACAGGATCGAGTCATGGACGGCGCATTCTCCCCACCTGAATCTATTTATCTATTTATTTATGTTATCATTATTTATACACGTTAAAAAAATTCGTCACGTAAAAAAAAAATTCCAATACAATGATTAATATCCTGAGAATCTACAAATCTTTATCCTAACATTATGTTAACTTACAACAATGTGTCACTTCAAAACCTGATTTCCATGAATGCCGTGTTTAAAAATTATGATAGAGAAGGCCTTTAAATTGGTTTAATGAACCAGACTCTCTAATGTTACCGTGTAAGCTATTCCAAAGGGTTGCGCCGCTGTTAACTAAAACTATATTCATGTAGTTAGTTCTTGGAAAGGGGACAACAATTTTGTTGACTGAGCCCCTCAGAGAATAGCTAGATTCATTTCCCTTTATAAATTTAGACGAGAGATATTTGAGAACCAGACCGTAAAAAGACTTGAAACCACTAAGGCGTTCTGAATTTGACGTTGAGATTTTACTAGTCGTCAGGAACACATATTACAACAGGTGGGGAGGGGAGGAGGGGTATCGTAGCTGTATCACAGTCGATAACCTCGCTTAACTGTTAAGCCAAATTGCACGAAAAGATTAAAAAGTCTGTTAAGACTGAGAATGACAATTCGTATTATTCAAGCCCAGCTTCCTGTAATTCCGCACGGCCGTTTAATACGATATCAGCCTGGGGTAGAAATTCAAACAGAAAGCTAGGACAAAACTTATTTCTGTTTCGTAAACATGATGATTTGTAAAAAAGTTTGGCTTTTTAGCGAAATGTGATCTCTCCTCCATAGATTGCCGTTGAAAGAATAGTTAAAGTGGCCGTTCACAGTTTATTTTTAGACATGAACCTTAGGTTAATTCACACAACAAAACACGAATTTTGCACAATATCAATTCTTTCAGGAAACCTACCTACATTTATACTACAGCCCGCCGTCAAGGAACAATGCGAATTTGATCATTCTTTTCAGATTCGTTGAATATCCTTGTCATGATCTCTGATACACATCACCAACATTCCACATAGTGACAAACTTCATCATTTTCTAAGAATTAAAGGTTTAAAGCTCTTGTGGCATACTATAAGTGCACAGATATTCCACAGCATAACATTTGAGAGATAAGTAACTGTTTTTGAATATTTACTAAGACAACTGATGTAAGAACATTCACGAATTTGGTTCACAACTTTTATCGAACGACCCAATATAATATACTTTGAATGACATTTAACACTCAAGCTCAAGGTTTGAATTGTGTTACTCCAACAAATATTAAGACCCATTCCCCAATAGAAACTATGAAAGCGAACGATTTTTCAAAATATGTGACTTTGACGAGGTGGGACATTCCTCACCAGACCTGCAAAAAATGGCAAGCACTCTCCACTTAGAATTCATGATTTAATTTCGACCCAACTCCACTCTTCTCAACCTTTTGAGAAATTTTTGTTACATTTATTTTTCGCATTTTTGTACTTCGGTTTGTCTTAGTTTGTTAGGTTATAAAATTGATTTCAGTGTATTGTGTGGACCATTTTCCAGTTTTTTTTTTTTACCATCTTCTGAATTTTTGACCGATTCTAGCCTATTAATGACATTGTCATCCACTCAACCGTTAGGAAACATTACCACTGATTGGTAGGTCGGAGAGTGAGCAAAATTTTGCTGTAATGCTGTGCATATCTTAGGGGAACCACAATTGCAATCACAATTTCTCGTCAAACTGTCACATTAATATATAACACTTGATGACCGTGGGGTGAGTGTAGGGAGGGGGGCGGTGTAAGACCATCAATGAACACCTGCCATGTTAGATAGAACTAAATTAGTGAAATGTCACGTGACAAGTGAAGGTCCGCACCGCGTGTGGAGGGACAGATACCGCAGGTGGAAGCCCAGGTAAACACGGGGGCAGAGGGGGGCGGAAAGCGGGATCTATCTGATGGCGGGAAGGGCGACGGGAGAACTCAGTACAGGAAGTGAGAGGTTGTGACCCCCTGCACTCCCCCCTCCCCGCCTCCCCACTGGTGGTAAAGTCCTGATGCAAAAGGTTATCATACTTTGTCCACCAGAAAAGAGAAAAGACAAACATTAATGTCAACCGAGTTATTTCGTTTCACAGGGCCTCATGAAAAATACAAATTGCAATAACTCGAAACTATTTTAAGGCATGAAAACCACGTCTTTGGCAAATAAAAAGACGCTGATTGATATCAGCGAGCCCGCAATATCCCATAAATATTGGTCAGAGGATTCTTTGGTGTAATAGTTGTCACTTAAACATGTTAAACGTCTCAATGTAATGCACTAGCGCAGTTAAACGATTGCATTAAGGCTTATTATATTAAGGACTAAATGTTATTAAATTAAGGACTTCATAACATTTAGGACTTTTGCCTTCAACAACGGGAAACATTATCCTTTTCAGTTTGAAAATTTTAGTTGGAGTTGTGTTAAAAAATGGCGCGTTTTGAGCGTGCGAGCCATTGTTTTTAGCCCAGCCATAAATAACAATACACCTTTCAGTAAGTACAGTACAGTAAGCCTACCCCTGTATCAATCTGTAATGGTGAAGATAACAGTATAGTAGTTGGGGGTGGGTGCGCAGTTTTAAAAAACCTGCGCGCCAACCACTCAACTATTAGTCTAAAGGGGGATGTTCGAAGTAACCATGTCACGCCAAAGCAATATGCGCTCATATTTTTGGTTTTTTATATGATATATTAGTATACATAAAAAATATTTAGACAGTGATTATATTGATTATTCAGATGATATAACAATGAAAGTCGCTTTACACATAACAGTGGACTGTATGATGATGTTTATTACTTTGATGACCAGGGTAATGTAAGACACTTTATGGACAGTAATACATTGGAAGCAAAAGAGAATTTACAAAATATAAAATACAATTTAAGGCAACCACTGCAGTGGTGATGAAAGCGATGCGGAACCCTTGCATATGTCGGACACCAACCCTGTCACAATCCGAAGGAGGCTAAACAGACAGCTACAGCCACTGTGGAAATAAATTAAATGCCTAAGTGATCGTTATTTACATAACTTGTATGTTTTGCCTTCTGTTTTTAATTCAGTTCATTTGACAGAATGGCAAGGTGGTTTATGGGTTTTAAAGTGAATGGTTCCTTTTTACCCCCAACTCACGAATTGTTTTTTTGAATATTGCATTAGCTGGTTTCACAAATTGAAAAATTAACAAATGACGCCACTCTCTCTCTCACTCTAGACGAAAAGTGTGGCACTTTAGTCACCTTTTTTCTCCCTTGTTAGAACTTCTTCAAAATCTTGCCCTTTTCAATGAAACTCTAGGAGTTACAATAGCAGAGTACTGTGCATGTTTGTCCAGAGTTTTACGTCCACAACTTAAAATGCTTTTATCTTAGATGGCTTTTTACATCAAAAAAGGTACAAAAGTGCCAGTGATTGGGGTTTCGCAAACAAAAGAAGGGAACAATCCAATTTTATGTTGAATAAATAGATAGATGAGAGACTAATAAACGCTGGTATATTTCCCCGACCACCCCGCCAATTTTAAACAGGGTATTGAAGAGATTGGCAGAAAGTCGGGTGTAATAGTATAAACTTTCATCTACGTTCAAGTTTACCGTTTCGAAAAAGGCCTAAAGTTTACTCTTTGAACTTGAATGTTTTACTGCGGTCAAGGCATTTGAGGAAAAAGTCTGAAACGTTATTATGTTTGACCTTGTCTACTTAGCGTTATGTTCACCAAGTGACAGCTTTTCAGTATGCGTTGTTTTGCAATTACAGCCACTTTTTTGGAACCATGTCTTGTTGCGAAGCCGCGTTGCAAAAGTGCCACATTTGGTAACATTGAGCTAGGAATTGCGACAAAGGGAGAAATGACCTTGCACAGCGCCTGATTTCAAATCCTTTTGTACATTAACTCTCTTTGTATATATCTTGTTCTGCTAGTAATTCCAAGCTAGCAGCTTATAACCCATTCCTGCAGTTAGAGGTAAAACCTGCTCATTCTCCATACACATGCTTTTGGTGTTTCGACTGATTTTGTTGTCAAGGGGAAGTTTTAAACACCATATTTTGTACTTGATAATATTAGAATTCTACTGACTTTATAGCATAATAAAATACCCAGTCATCCAATTTCCATGAGCTGGTATAAAACTCCGGGAAATCGGCCGCTTATTTTTAGCGCCAAATATGCATATAAAGAAAGATGAGCGGGGGAAGTAAGGGGTTCAAACTTCAGTTAAGTTTGCTTGTTATAATGAAACAGGCAGTTATTCGGTTTTTAGCGAATGTTAAATAGTTAATGACCTCTAGGCATCTCTACTGCAGAAAAGCTCCGTTTCGTGATAAAATTCCTCACTTAAGAGAAAAATGCACGAATTAGTCAGCACACTCGCATGAATGTGCCGTAGTTAAAAAGGTTTGAGGTAATCTCACTGAATTTTTATTCCTTTGAAGACTGAAAATAATACAACTTGTGTCAGAGAGGCAAGGGCGGCAAGGAATTTTTCATCGAGCATAGAAAATCTTAAT